CCTGCTGGGTATCTTCCCCAAAGAATTAAAAGAATCATACCACAGTGATATATGTGCACCCATGTTTACTGCAGCACAGTTTGTAATAGCTAAAACTTACAAACAGCCCAAATGCCCATCCACTGGAGACTGGATAAATAAAATGTGTTTTTTAAAATAAAATGGTATACTACTCAGCCATAAAAAATGAGAAGTTAGAGATATTAATAGCTAAATGGATGTACATTATGGCAATACTATTAACTGAAATAAATAGCACACACATGTATAAATACTGAATAGTTTCTCTAGTGTGAGAAACTGAAAGTGTAAATAAGGAGTAAATGTTATAATAGATAATGTGAAACGGGAAGAAAAGGGGCAAAGCGGAAGGGGAAGTAGGATAGATAGGGGAAAGGAAAGAAGGGAAGGGAATTAATATGAGAAAGTGAAAAAATGGAAACAAAGTCTTTGTAAATAGGGAGGGATGGAGGGCTTGAAGGGAGGGCAGGGGAAGGAGGAAAAATAAGAACCAAGAGAGTATGTAAAGGTGCAAGTTTCCAATGATGAATGCCATTATGTTGTATACCTAAAATGTAGCAATAGAATAAATTTTTTTAAAAGCAGCATGAGGGAGCTAGTCTGCTCCTCCATTCTGTGAGGACACATGAGGCATAAGGCTCTGTCTATGTGCAGGTGCTCTGATAATGGACTTCCTAGCTTCCAAAACTGTCAGCAATACAGTTTCACAGCTTATAAATTATTCACTGTATAGCATGTTGTTATGTAAGTTCAAATGGACTAAGATAGAAATTTCTTCCACCACTTCTCTAATACCCTCTTTTAACACTTGCACCTTTACTACAGTGCTAGACCCGGGAAGAGGTTTTTTTTCTGTCTCAGCTTCCTAACTTTCCACTCATTCCTTATATCATAAAATACGGTTGTATTCCTGTCTCGCATCACATGGCCTTTTCAGGGTTCTTGCTTTGACTGCCCCGACTTCCTTCCAGTGTATTCTATGTTCTGAATTTCACATCTCACTTCTTTCAGCCTGTATACTCTGATTCTGTCCACTCAGGTAGCTCATCTACTATCTAAGAGAAATCCCCAAGTCATAACTCCAGCCATGTTCTCTTTCCCAAGGAACAAAATCCACTTTCTAATACATCCTATCTACCTGCATATTGCAAGCACCTCAAATTTTATATGTCCAATCCTATATCAGTATCTACAATCAGTAATGTATCAGTATCCTACAATCAGTAATTCATGTTTTTGGAAGCCTGCTTTCAGCTGGATGACACTTGGCAGCAGCATTCCCTGTAATTTTGATCAACTTTGTAAAGATGCTCGTGAGAGAGGACTTCCAGAAGTTCAGAAAGTGGCAAGAATGCATAAGTTATGTTCAAACTGAGAAGTGATATTTTTAGGGGGCTTAATGGCAATGTACCTTCTACTCTAATGAATTTTTAATTTAAACATTCATTGCATTTTTGATCACTCTTTGTATTATGAATATTTTTGGTTTTTGTTTTGTTTTTGCAGTGTAGGCGATCAAACTCAAGCCCTCCACGTTTTAGCCAAGTGCTCTACCACTGGGCAACACCCCCAGCTCCAAACATTTTAAGTAAAAATATGTCAGTAACTTGAATTTTGTGGTAAAATAGTATCCTATCATAATTTACTTAAGTTCTTATCACTGGCCAGTCAACTAATTTTTATTCATTATAACCAAAGTTCTGTGGTTCAATATTGAAATAGTAAAAAAAATTAATGATCTTATCATCACTACATTTTTTTATCTTTAAAAATTACAGTAAGAAGGGGTGGGGAGTGTAGCTCAGTGGTAGGTAGCTTGCTTAGTGTGTGTGAGGCCTGGGTCCCATCCCTGGTACAGCAAAAAACAAAAAAATGGAGTAACTTTGAATTACATTTTCTACTGGGAATGTGGACTGGTAGAAGACAGCAGTAAAACTAAAGGCCACTGAAAAAGAAGCAAACAAGAAAAATTTCAACATTGGTGACAAGGTATACTTGCACTGAATTTGAAAGAAAGAAAACTGGCATTATTTGGTGACGCTAAATATATGCACGCCCTATAAACAGGAAATCCTAAAATTACTAAACGTAATACTGAATAGACTAAATACAATTAAAAGAACAACGTGTGTCAGGAATCACAGAATACTGGTCCACGGGCGAGGAAGAGTCATAGACCGGATCTGCTCAGAGCTCGCCACAACCCGACTTCAGGGCTCGAAGGAAGGAAGCCCGGCTTTGCACGAGGCCAGCCTCGCCAGGCGCGGTGGGAACCAGGGCTCCCACGGCAGCAGCCCAGCCCGTGTAGTCCTCGCCCCCACGCCCTGTCACGAGGGGCGGGACCGGAGGGCGTGGTCAGCATGTGGAGCCCGGACGCCCAGCGGGGCTTCTGCAGAGCTGGGGTATGAGGAAAATCTTCTAGGAACGAGAAAACTGTTGTACTGCTTACTTATCTCTGCTGAAGTCCAGTAGGCAGAGGTTTCAACGACCCCCCAGCCCAGCAGCAATCAGATTCCAGCAGCGGCCCTCTCTGAAATCGTCTCCGCTTTCCGATCCTCCGCTGCGCTAGACTGCAACTCCCAGGCGGCCTCGCGGCGCAGCTCCCTCAAATACGGTGGACTGCAACTCCCAGGCGGCCCCGCGGCCCCGCGTCTGACTTGCGCAGTGGCGTCCGCGGTCGGTCGCCCGGACAACCTGGAGAAGACGGCTAGGAGTTTGGTGGCTGTAGGCATCCCTCAGGCAGCCGTGCGCTTGGTGCGGCACCTCCTCCCCGAGTCCTCCGTTGCTTCCTCCGTGTGAACAGCGGTACTTCCTGGGTCTCCCCTGTCTGTCTCTGAGGGTGACCGCGGCGTCAGCGGCGTCTGGGGACTCGCGCCAGCTCCGCGGGGCGGCGCGACTCCCAGTGGGAGCGGGGAGAGGGTGGGAGGTTGAGGGGTGCTCTTCTCTGCACTCCCTTATCGCTGTCTGCTACGCCCGGTCCCCGTCGTCGTTTCGGAGGAAGTCTTCGGACAGAGTTCGCGAGAAAGCGAGGTGGAGTCAGTTCTACTCCGCGTTAGGTAAGAAGCGCGGATGAGGGAAACTTCGAGATCGTCGTCTTTTCCCTGCTTTGTATACAAGACGCTTACGCGTTCTCTGAGGTGTGCAGTGGTTTGGAGGATACGGGGCCGGCTTCTAAGGAGGGATATTTGCATCAAAGCAAGCAAGTCTCGAGCACCAAGGGTGTTGATCCTGCGAGCGCCTTGAGAAAGGGCGCGTTTTAAGAATTTGATTGCAGACGTGGCGCGATGCCCGAGCGTCCGCAGGCGATTTTTCAACAGGTCTAGGAGCCAGTCAAGAGTTCCCAGCCCATGGCCTCAGCAGAGGCCACACTAACATCCTAATGCTTCCCGCAGTAAGATTACTGCTCCCCTGCGCGTTATTTTGCAGACCACAGCAGTTTCCATGAACTAAGCTGATTTTATCAGCACCTCCTCCCAATCAAGTTCTGCAGCAGACTTGCATTGCCTGGAGAAGTTTATAGATTTGTTTGGTATCTTTTACTTTAAATATGAAATAGTATCTCCCACAAGCACACGTCTTATATGTACACACACATGCACAACTGGAGAGAAAACTAGGTTTTAACTAAAATCTGCCAGCATTCAAAAAGAGAGAGCGAGAGCGAACTGTTTGTTTAACGTATTAGCAGTATGTAAACAGGATGATTTCTGAGTTACTTGTTATGGTGAAGAGCCTGGAAATGTTGTTTGGAAGACTTAAGAGATTTTGTTCTGAAAACAATTTACAAGTTATGAGAGTTTAAGAGATTTTTTCATTATGTATGTATTTTTTCATTATGTACTGTATTTACAGCTTTCATTTATGTTTACATTCCACTTTTTTTTTTTTTTTTTTTTGGTGGTGGTGGTACTAGGGATTGAACCAAGAGCCTCATGCATGCTAGGCAAGTGCTATACCACTGAGCTATGTCCCCAGCCAGGGTTGCCCAGGGTTTCTTTAAAGTTGCAATCTTCCTACCTCATCCACTGAGTAGCTTTGATTACCAGTGTGTGCCAGTATGCCCAGCTGGTACAGCTTCTTCATTGAAATACTTATTGCAGAAAAAAAATCCAACAGCAATAATATTAAGTTTTTAAAGTGTGTAGCAAGTCTCATCCCTCAGAACACTTTCAATTATATACACATATATGTATATATTTATTTTTGGTGCTGGGTGTTTCTTTCTTTCTGTTTTTTTTTTTTTTTTTTTTTTTTTTAGTACTGGGGATCAAACCCAGGGCTGCTTTGCTATGGGGCTACATCCCTATCGCTCTTTAAATTTTATTTTGGGCCAGGTATGGTGGTGCACACCTGTAATCTCAGCACTTGGGAGGCTGTGGTAGGAGGATCGCAAGTTCAGTACCAGCCTGTGGTATGTAGCAAGTTTAAGGCCAGCCTGAGCAGTGTAGTTAGAGCATGTCTCAAGACAAAACTAAAATATAGAAACAAAAAATTTCCCCAAGTTATTTTGACATGAGGTCTCTTAAGTTGCCCAGGCTGGGCTTAAAGTTGGCAGTCTTCCTGTCTCAAGTCCTGGGGGTTGAATCCAGGACCTTGGAGGTGAGCACTGCTATGATGAGCACCTAGCTGGGATCGTAAATTCAGCACCAGTAATGATTTAAAGGGATAGAGTTTAAGAAAGGACAATGCTTATTTGTAAGGAGGAAGAAGCAGAAGACAGCTGCACTTAAGAGGGAGGAGGGGGTTCCAGGAAGATGGAGCCCCCCTATTTGTTCCTGGCTCATTTTAGCAGATGATAACGACCCTTCCCTCTTACATGGGTAACTGGAACTTGTTATAACCTGATTGGCTCCCTGGGCTGTCTTTGGAGGGATCCCAGGCCACAGGACCCTAACTAGGCACCCCAGCCTATGTGTACATTTCTTTTGGTGGGCTTTGCTTGATTTCTTCCTGCTCTTTTGTGATGTATAAGTTGAGGGGGAGCCCTTATAGAAACATGGCTTAGTGATTAAGTAAGGGGATGTGTGTGTATCTAGTGCCGTAATATAGTGACCCTAGAGTGAAAAAGTATATATGTATATTAAAAATGCTTTTTTAGGTCTGGCTTCTCTCTTCCTGTCTTAGTCCTTTTAATTGTTTGAATCTAAAGCAGAGGCAAAAGCCGCTCTTACTAAGATTTTCTATTAATTTCTTTTAGCTTAATGAGGCCCTTATTGTATTCTTTCCCTGCCTACTGACTGCCTTTTCCTACACTTGTATATAAGCTCTACCACTGACTGAGCTCTACTCGCGGTCTTCAGATAGTTTTTGAAAGTTATTGGAACCATGAAGTTATTATAAAACATTCCTGCCAATTAATAAAATTTTCATTAAAGAGGACGGGGTATATTTCAGAGGTAGAGCCATGTTTATCGTGTACAAGCCCTTGGTTTGATACCCAGCACCACACATACACATAGATATTGCTGCCAGCCTTTTAGACATCTCATTTAAATTTTAGTCCAGAAGCCAAATTGGCATCTGTAATTTTGTTTTGCTCGAGCCTAGGCCCTGGTTTCAATCTACAGTCCCACCACCAGTACTGCATTATTGCTACTAGGTTCTCACTGACATTCACCTGACATTGACTGAGTACTTGCTATGGGTTGGGCACTGGTTAAGCAGTTGCATGTGTTAGGCCATTTCATTCTCTCACAGCCAAAACAGTTGGGAGACAGACGATGAGGGGTCATCTAAGGTCAGGTAACTGGAAGGTGGAGTTGAGGCTTGAATCTAAGGCCAGCTGGCTTGGCTCCTCTGCTCTTTTGCCTTTTATGTCTGTTATTGAGACTCCCCCCAGCACTGAATCCTTGTAACACCGCCTTTGAAAGCAGTATCCTTCAAACTCTGTGTGCATTTGCCATCTTTCCTGGACTGGAAGACCTGATTCCTGCTTCCTGAGATTTGATGCAACACCAGGATAATGTGGAGAAAGCCCAGTTCCAAGTATGAACAACAGCATCTGAGTCTTTTCCTCCTAATTATGGAGCCTGTCTTTAGACCCCTGCATTCCTCACACAGCTTTCTTTGGGTTTATCTTCTATTCTCCTTCCATAGTGTGGGACTAGCTCAGTGAGATACTAAAATAATCTGCCTCTGCTGGGGAACCTAAATCTAAGGAGTGTTGGTGTGGAAGATAATGTGTATAAATAAGTATCGGAAACTAGAAAGAAGCCTGGTGTGGTAGTGCAGGCCTGTAATCCCAGCGACTCTGGAGGCTGAGGCAGAAGGATCTTAAGGTCAAGCCCAGCCTGGCCAGACTTTGTCTTAAAAGTGTGTGTGTGGGGGGGGCACTGAGGTGTAAATGAGTGGTAGAACACTTGCCTGGCAGGCACTGGCCCTGGTTTCCACCTACTTTGCCACAAGAACAGCAGCAGCAGCAAAGCTACAAAAAGCTGTCAAGTGACAGGAAGAGAAGTCTGGAGCTTTACCCTAAGGGGTAAAGAGATTATCTTCTATTTTCATTCTAGGGACTCAGAAACCAATTTTTTACCTATTTATGTGTATGTACATGTTAACATCCTCTAATTCTTGCTTTCTACTTATCCTCTAATAATGTAGTCAAACATTTTAGCTTCTGTTCAGCAGTTTGAACCCCAGGTGACAAGAGAGTTTGCATTAGCTAAAGGTGGCTCTTTGCCCAGGGTTGTGGAGGAGCCACCTGGGTTTAGCCACCACTCTCTGCTAATTGATTCAGATCTCTGGGACAGGTTTCTTAACCTCTCTATATTCGGGATACCTGAATGATAGAACCCATGATTCACTTTGTAGCTGTTGTGAAGATTAACATAGGACACTTAACAAAACGTTTAGAAACCTCCTGGCATTTAGTAAGTGATCAGTAAATATTAACTATTATTTTCCTTCACATGAAAGGAGATAGCAGTCATTGAACACTTGATGTTTGGTTTTCAGTTTTCGTGTACTTACATCTTAGTGAGGAACTGGAAATCAACATTGAACATCAAATGGATAGGGTATAAATAAAATACAAAACCAAGTTTCTCTTTTTTTGTGCTACTTGGGATTGGATTGGTGTCAGGAATGATGCTTTCCCAGCTCTTTTTGTTTTCTGTTGAAACAGTGTGTCACCTGCCCAGGTGGGACTCAAACTTGGGACCCTTTTGCCTCAGCCTCCCTCAGTGCTTGGATTTACAGGATTGGGTGTGGCCAACACACCCAGCTACTAGTTTCTTAGGTATAATTCAAGGCAGTTAATTAAGGAAGAAACCAGTTCATACATATTTGCCGTAGAGAAAGATAAACTTGAGTCATTTGTACAAAAAGGGTTGCACTTTGAGATCATAATGTTAAGTGAAGTAAATCAGATAACAAGCTTAAATATCATATGGTTTCTCTTATATGAGAAACTATATATAAAGTGCAAAATAAAAAGAGGAAAAAGATAAAAGTTACTGTAATGTAGCAAGTACAATTTATTTAAAAGTAATACCTTGTTTTAGTATAATTATCTTGCATGTTTTATGTTTTGTGGCGTATTCATCTGTTAATCTGCATGTAAGATAATTAACCTTGTAAGGACTGGTAAACAAACAAATCTGATGCTTGAAAAAAGAGGGGGCCTGGAGAGGAAGGGTAAAAGATTGAGATGTGTTATATACATGTACCAACTCCCCACAATGAATATTAATTACTATACACTGCAATTATTATATACTGCATGTACTAATAAAAGTAGAGAAAAAAATAAAGTGAACTTTTGTAAAATTCCAAGGTATTTGATGCTGTGCTATAATTTAAAAAGTCCAATATGAATTCACAACAGTAACTCAACATAGAGTAGGGCTAGGATATGTTCATTCTGACACACTGGTAGTTAATGGTACAAATGGAACTGCTAACTAGTGTTTCTGGCTCTTTTTTGGTGTTAATTTCCCTCTTCCATTTTGCTTTTTTTAAATTGGAATGACAAGAGGGAGTGAATGCTTTTTGAGTACCAGTGATATACCATTTTCTCTGCTAGTTATTTGATTCTTATGATCTCATTGGATCTTTTCAGCCACCTGTAACAGAAGATGCTGCTGTTCAAATTGAAAGGAAGTTAGATATTTTGCTAAGGCCTATGTGCTCATTAGTACTGGTAGGTTTTAAATCTTGGTCCTTGAAAGAATATTTTTCAGATTTCTTTGTGCACTTCTTTCCTAAATGTCTCAGAAGGTAGGACTAGCCCTATGTAAATGTATAACTAGCCCAATTTACCAATGGTATTGAAAAATCTCTGCTTCATGTTCTATCCATTTGGATTTGTGATTTGATATATGTGTATAAAATACAGGAATGTTAAAGTTAATATAGAAGTGTTAACCTCAAAAGTATCCAAATTTAATTTGCTGTGTCTTAAGAGATAATAATTAATTCATAATGTGAAGTAGTGTTTTTTTTTTTTTTTTTTGGCACGGGGATCGAACTCGGGTCCTTGCACTTGCAAGGCAGGTGGCGCAAGAAGTAGATTTTTATTAAGAATGAATTCTTTCTTTTTAGAGTGAAGGAAAATGTCTTTATTTAAAGCCCGCGATTGGTGGTCTACTGTTCTGGGAGAAAAAGAAGAATATGATCAAGGCTGTTTGTGTTTGGCTGATGTTGACAATAGTGAGAATGGGCAAGGTAAGCAACTTCTGGCTTTGCAGTGTTTTTTTTTTTTTTTTTTTTTTTCAGTGCTGCAGATTGAACCAGGGCTTCATTTATTTCTATTAATGCTTCTTACTGGGATGCCACCAGTGGATGACCAGTGTGCTGAGATATTGTTCCCCAACCCCTAGTTTGTGGCCAACTAGGAGCAGCTTTCTCTGTTTTCCCAAGCAAGTACTCTATTTCTGAGTTGTATTCCAGCCCTTAGAACCATGTATCTTGGGGCAAAGCTTTGAAAATAGCAAATAAAAACAACTTGCCTTATTAAATATGTACTTTATAGAACATAATTAAACTGTTATAATTACAACATTCATTCATTCATTCGAGTCAGGGTTTCATGTAGTCCAGACTGGTGTCAAGCTCCCTGTGTAGCCCAGGCTGTCCTAGAGCTGCCTCAGCTCCCTAAATCCTGGGATTACGAGTGTGCACCATGCTCGACTTAGAAATTATTTACGTGAAAAATGATGTCCTTTTAAAATTGGATCTGAAAGCTATTCATGTCATAGTGAAATTATGCTAGCTGTGTTTGTGGGTAGAAAACAATTGTCAAATCATTGTTGTCACTGTCATAATACTGAAACCACTTCTTGTCCTATTCTTAAATTATTTACTCCTCTTTGGATCTTCATATGTTTTAAGTTGCCTTTAAAAATGTTTAGTTATACATCGTTGACATGAGATTCATAAAGGAAGTCCTCAATTTAGGAACATTTGAGTTGTGAACTTTTACAGGTGTACTGTATAAGACTCACTTTGTTGGCTTACAAACAGATTTGATTTATGAACAATTCTCTTGGAGCAGAACTTGTTTGTAAGTTGAGGACCTAATGTATGTATTTTAAATCATTTATAGACATGAGCTTTATTTTCTAATCCAGATAATCATTGGCTTCTTAGAAAAGAAGTTTCATATACCTTTTCTTTTGCTGAATGTTGTAAATATTGTCCTCTTACACTGTTCTTTATTCTGTTTCTCTTTATTATAGTTAAAACAGTAGGATCTGGGGAAAAGGTGAAAAGAGAAAATTATGTTGGCAAAGAAGAGCGATAGCTCCTAATTGACATTTTGTACCATGTCAGTTATTTCTGAAGGGAATCAGGGCCCTGCCTCAACAGGCCTCTGTTCAGAGGGCATGTATAGAAGGTTCCTCAAGGATCATTCATCTTGTCTCTGCTCAGCTGTTAGAGCTGTGATTCCCAGTGTTTGGCCACATAAGAGATGCACCACAGAAGTACCTGCCAGAGAGGACACCTTCAAACCCACCGCTGCCCAGATTCTCTGTAGCTCATCTTGGTTGGAAACTGATTGTCTCAATAATGTGCCATTGCTCATTTATTTGTTCATGCTCCTTACTGTGATGCCACCAGTGGGTTACCAGTGTGCTGAGGTATTGACCCCCCAACCCGTAGTTCATGGCCAACTGGGAGCAGCTTCCTGTTTTCCCAAGCAATGTAAAACAGCATTTTTACTTGTGTGTGTGCCAGATAGATAAAATATTGATCACTATTTTCCAATATGCTGAAGTGGTTTTTACATATGATGATTATCTATTCCAGACATAGGAGATCTTATAAGATGGTATTCTCTGTGGGTAAGAGGGGTGATAGGGGTCAGATATCTGCATTTTGAGAATTAATTAATTCTTTCTCTCTCTCTCTTTTTTTTCTTTTTTGTTTGTTTGTTTTGAGCCAGGACCTTGCTATGTACTTCGGGCCAGCCTTGAGCTCACTATGTAGCGTGGCCTGGTCTGGAGCTCATGGTGATCCTCCTGCCTCAGCCTTCTCAGTGTTGGGATTATAGGCATGTACCACCACGCTTGGCTGCATTTTGAGAATTTCTAAAGTTGAATGGTGGTACTCCAAAATTTGAGAATTATTATTGTCACTCTTATGATGTGGTAGGTTGATAAGGACAGTTTTGGATATGTTCTGTTTGAGGTAGAAATCCCAGGTATACAGAATAGAGGTAGAGATTTGGGAGTGAGGGCTATGCTGTTTCTATTTGAAGCCCTGAGAATGGGTGAAAGTGCACAGGAAGGGAAGTTGGAATAAGAGAGAGGGAATTTGTAGGGTTGTAACCTGGAAAATGCAGGCAATAAAGGAGGAGTATGGGGGACTGGTCATAATTGATTCCGAGCAGGTTGGCAGAGGCAAGTGAACCAGTTGGGCTGGAATCTGGGAGGCAAGGGTTAATGACAAGAGGACTGACAAGTGTCCCTGCAAGTGGTTCATTACCATCCCTGATGTGGGTGGCTGAATCACTAGCATGGTAACAAGATCTGGATCTGCAGAGAATGAGACTGAGTGGGAGATGGGGAGGCTGTTTAAAGCTCTCTAAAGAAACTTATTTGTGAAGGGATGATAACTGGAGGACAGGGTCGGGTCAGTGTATAGGATAGAGGTCATGACTGACCAAGCAGGGATCCTGGGAAGACTATCAGTGATGGGATCAGACATGCAGATGGAAGGGTTAACTGACCTTGAACAGTCTTTCTTTTTCACTGTGACAGAATGCAAGACATTAAGAATGAATACAGATGGAGAGATTGCAGGTATCCTGATTAACTCTAATTCTGTATGATCCATTGACTTTAACAGTGGCAAATTTGGTTATTAAATAGAGGTGTGCTAGGAATCACTAGAACTGCCTGTTTAAGTTTTTGATGTTGAATTTTGGAAGGTACCCAAAATCTGGCATGGGAGTGATACTGATTTTGATACTCTTCTTGGTGGGGAAACTGAGTTCTGTGTAGCTCTCCCAGTATCATATTCCTTAAATGTAAAAATCTGGGAACCAAATAGGTGATCTAAACTCTCAGAAATTGATGAAAAAAAAAAGAATACATTGGCTTTGTTCTCCCACTGGATGAACTGTGTTAAAAATTCATGTATAAAAGGAAAAGAAAAAAAAAATTCATGTATTACTAGGCTTCTGTAGTTGAGAATAACAGTGTCTTACTGGGGTCTAGAATTAGTACCTCCAAGCCCAATATTCATCATTCTTGCAAAGCTTAGACATTTCCTTTCCTGAGTCCACCTGGGGACATGACGTCCCATTCAGTAGGCATGCATGGTGTGATCACAGTGACCACACACAGTGGTTTCTGTGCTTTGAGTCTGTACACTGGTATACGTATGGAAACAGGCAGAAGCCAGGACTGTCTGGTCTGGACACTAGGGTTAGTCTTCTTTGTCACTGACATGGAATATTCATGGTTATAGACTTCAAAGAAAAAAGGCCTTAAAAAATGTGATAGACACATGGTAGTGCTTTCTTACAATTGAATATTATTCAGAAGAAAGGCTTAGTGTCTTTTTTCATTAAGTTTATTGGTACATTTTAGATATACAGTACAGTTACGTTCATCACTGGGATCTTGTACCTTTACATGATGTATCTTACTTCTTATTTTTTCCCCATTACCCTGCCCTCCCTTCACCCCCTCCTCCCTTCCCTATTTACAAAGACTTTGTTTCCTTTTTTTCCTTTTCTCATATTTTTTCTTTTCCCTTCTTTCCTTTCCCCTGCCCCTCCCACT